ATTGTGGTGGCCCAATGTGTCCCGGTGCTAAATTAAAGCACCTTGAAAGGATGCGGCACAATAATCACCAAGACAAAAATTAAACACTAAAAACATATATTTGTAAGTTTCTCTGTGCTGTCTGCCGGCGCGATGTTTGTTAAGACAAAGACATTAAACCACAGAAGATTAGCTACCCAATACACATAGGCTTACAAATATATTCTAACCTAACACCTAACTTTAAAAATATTTAATTGCAACCTTTACTCTGTCTGCCGGCGCGATGTTCGTTAGAACAAAGACATTAAACCACAGAAGATTAGCTACCCAGTAAGTATAGAGTTGCAATACACTTAGTCATATAATCAATATTTATCATTAACTGAGAAAATTAGAGTTGATTCGGTTTTTTTAAAAAAAAAAATGTTTTATTTTAAAATATTAATTGACATTTATTTCCATGGTAAAATAAAAATAAAATATCATTATATAATGAACAAATTAAATTAAATTAAAAGATTCACCAAAACAAAATTCACTTTAAAATTTCTAAGTGTCATTTAGTTTTAAAGAAAAATATTCTAAGTCCAAATAAATTAAAAAATAAACTAAGTCCCAGAGAGTAGAATCTTGAGTAGAGTGTCGCAGATTTTGTGTAATTTAAAATAGCCGAAAGAACTGATTTTAATAGGAAAAAATGGGTTTTTATAGTAGACGAGGGTCGTGTAGCGATCCCTAGTGTGATCTTAGAAACTGTAGATCTCAATTAATAGTTGAATGTGATTGGCTGGACTTAGTTGAGAACCCTCACATGGGCGTGACTTTGAATCTGTACGATAATCAGATTTAATTGACTACTTTATTGATTATTTTAAGTCTTAGATAAGGGAACCCTGTTTTGGTGATCTTGTGAATTCATAATATATGACATACATGTACATAAGATAACATAATATAATATTTTAATATTATAAGTAATAATATAATATTACAGTTTTACTACAAAATTGTTTTAATTTTTGAAGCAGTACATCAACTGCTGCATGACCAACTAGGCCACACAATCCCTTTTTTACTTTTTACTACAACATAATCAAATATAAAGTTATTTTCTTCAAAAACCCGAAAAATATTATTTTTCTTGTGGACATTAAGACAATCTTTCAAATAATTTAGTTTTAAGATGCATGTTAAAATTTGAAAATAATTTATTAAAATTATTTTTCACAGCTTTGCAAACACGCAAAAGTGTACATGGACATAAATTATCTGCAGTTGAGTCATGCAAATTATTATTGAATTCAATAGAATATTATTTTGTATACATTTAGAAACACTTTTTTGAACCATTATATAAAATCTAAAAATTATTTTATATTGTATACATTAAATAAAATATATTACACAGCCGCAAAGAATCAAATTTGATGTCAACAAATTTTGAATACTCATATTTTGTATTGTAAAATTCTTTTTTTTAACGCCAAGAATTCCTAATCATAAGAAATAATTTATAACATAATTATTATGTTATAAATTACAAAAACACTGAATATTTATTATATTAAAAATTAATTTCAATGTATTTATTCTAAATTTAAAATCCATCAAAGTCCTCCAGTATTGATGACTATATAAATTTCCAAGGTATTCAGAAAAGTATTCTGCCCAAGTATGTTGAATTTAACTTCAAATGACTATTAGAGAAAAGTGTTTTAATTATAAAATTACAAATAATAAATAAACATACAAAATTGGAATCAAAAAATAATTTATCACATTATAATTTTCTTTTTATATCAACGTATAAAATTTGAATAATAAAAATACATAACAACTGAACTCTATACCTGTATGGTACAGAACGCCTTTAGAAGGATCTAGTTGACCAGTTATTATAAAGATCATTGATAATATTATTTCGTGGGACAGCTGATCATCAGCATCTTGTTTTACTCACCCCCTTCCCCACCCATCACGGCAAATCGATGACCACCGTGTCGGTTTTCAAGTCAGTCAATCAATTGTTTTTTGTGTCACTCTTTTCTGTTGCAAGCGTCTTCGCTTGAATAGTAAATTGTTCGGCCGTTATTTATTTATTTATTTATTGCACTCTTGTGTTCAAAGTTTTCGTGCCCTTACAGACTTCGAGTGATTGGGCCCATTAAATAACTTCACTGCCATAGTCGCTTTTTCGTCGTCTGTTTTCATCCACTATTATGTGCCTGCATCTACACCCTAACTTGTGATACTCAAATGTTCGACACCATTACCACAAGATCTCATACAGTCCACTCACCACTATCAACAACGTCATCTATACAGCTGAGTTTTATATTATTTTTAATGTTATTTATTGTTTGTTTTAATTGAAATTAACTATTTGCTTTATGTCGCTTCGCCGGCCACTAGTATTTAAGGGCCCCCGTTACCCCTTAAATTTAAGATACTCTCTAAAGAATTTCTAATGTATATGTGATTATTTGTTATTTAATTACTGTCTACTCTCGTTTACTTATTGGATGTATAGGTAGCCGTCATCTCCTAGGTGACCCACACCCGCATCAATAATAACGTTTAATTTAAACAGGCTTAAGGTAAAACGGCATTCTAGTGCGGTGCACAACTAACCGTCCTACGGTCTAGCTGCCTCGTACAAAACAATACCACTAAACTTTTGTCATTTTTGGTTTATAAAAAATGTGCATTATTTTTTTAGTCATCAAAAATTCACTTGACTTTGATCCTTAAGAATTATTTTTACATTTAATGAGTAACTAAAGCACTCCTTACTGTGCCAATGCATTGCCATTTATACAGACAATAATCGAACTACGATTATAGTTTAGCGTACCGAATGACTTATTAACATAAAAATAATATATATTTTTTTGTTTGCTATTGTCAAAATCACTCGATACTTTGAAATACTACTATTGTGTTAATTGCGAGTAATTTTTGAGGGTATTTTATACCCTTACAACTGTTACTCTGTGGGTTAGTAATTAGTAATTAGTAATTGAGAGAATTTGTATAATTTTTACTTCCACTAAACATTAAAAATTTCAAATAAAATACTTTTTAATTATAAATTATAAAATAGTTGATGTTTTTATAACTGATATTTATACATATTAATATGTTATATAAAAAGATATTCAATTCTTTAATGAATTCGTCCAACTTTCAGTAAGATTGTAATAAGTAAGAAAAATGTATTAATAATAGATGTCGTCATTCAAACAAAACAATTAGTTTTAGTAATTTTGGCAACTTGATTTTATTTTTTGAAAATTTACATAAATCATATAAGCAATAAATCATAAAACAAAAAGATGGTAGTTGTGCAATCATACGTATTTCGAGTTTTTATTTCAAATAACTATTTACTTAATTTTGCTGCTATCATGAAAATTATAAAGATGGAAGACAAATTTAATCGAGAAAAAATTTCTTTTAACATTTAAAACATGAGCAAATTTGTTTTTTAATCCCTTTAAATTTATTATTAATATTATTAGGAACTAGACTTAACGAATAATAAAAAGCGTTTTAAATATTATGCACCGCTAAGAATCGGCCGAACGCCTTCGACGTTAGAAGCAACGCCGGCCAGATCAGAGGAACTGAGGGGCTGGATAAGGCTAACGCCATAGAATGTCGCATAAGTGTTTTCTACGTTTTTATGAGTTATTAAGCCCCAAATTTCGCATAGTCCTGTCCCGACCAACACATAGTTGGGCCTGGGCATTCGATCCGATTTTTAGGTCTGGCTAACGGGGAAGGCCACGTCATATTGTGACTCAATTGTTGATTAACTTCAGGAGGAGTCATAACATGCGGTGTTAGTTATAGAGACGGCGTAAGGCACTCTGAAATAATGAAAAAATGAGATTGGTGAGAACTGAGAAAAAGTAGTAACAGACACAAAAAAAATAAACACATAGTAAATTAATACCTTCTCAGCTTCGCATCGAAGCTAAAATACGATTTTTGTAAAAAAATTCTTTTTTATATTTCTATTTTTATAATGCTATAACATTTTGAAATATGTATGGATCGTTATAATGTTTTTAAGATAAGTACTATTTATATTCTTCTTTCATTCGATATACTTAAATTGATATATTACACTCATAAAACCTGTATGAGAATACAAATAAAGAAATAGGAGATCATGTAACTTTTGGAATAATCCACAATTTTTTTAATAAACACTTATTGTATTGAAAAAGTTAATTTTATGTGAAAAAGTTGTCATTTTTAATCCTCCCCTGTGGGCAGGTGAATAATCAGATTAATATATATATATACCCCATTTTCTTCCTCTGATTCTGTAAATATTAAGTGAAGTAAAATTTTTTGTAAAATATTTGTATATGTGTCAATGTTGAGTTTTGATTTGCTATATTTTAATGTTAAGAGTTAAGAGGACATACTTGTAATCTATAATTTTTATTTTATAATATAATTGAGCTTTAGTTTTTTTTATTGGCCATATACAGAGTGAATTTTTTATCATAACTTACTCAATTACTTACAGAGTAAATACAATTTAAACATTTTTTTTTTTTTTTTATCGTTAGACATTATTCTTGAATTATGTAATACTTTTTAAGGTCATTCCTTATGACTTGTAAGGGTATCAACTTTGTTTTTTTAAACGTTATAATTTTTTTCCGTGTTCATTTTTAACAACTAAAATTAATTTCCTTATTAATATTAACTGTAATATTTATTAAAATTGCTCTAGTAGCTTAAGTACTCGCGTGTATTTTATTCTTGTTATTAAATATAGACACAGCCTACAGTATGTTATACATATCAACCACGTTGTTGCTGCAAGCCGACCAAAAAAGACCACTTACAATATTTCAACTAAAATGTCAATAAAATTAGTTATTTGTAATTTTTAAATTATAACGTCATTTGTTCAAAATAAATTTGTATATGTGAATACGAAAAGTAAATAATATTTTTTTGATTTTCTAGTATATAAGCCAATAATTTACTTATATTTTTTTTCAAAATTAAGTTAAAACACTAAAATTTAAAATATACTTTGTACATATCGTTTACGATATCAAAATCTATTTCTATTTCATAAAAAAATTATAAGATATTGCAAAATGCGTTGGATAATATATTGTACTTTTATGTTTGTTTGTGTTATCTCTTCGTTGGGCTCACCAGTGCAAAAAGATATAGTAAATGTATTATTTAATAAAAAGCTTAAAAATGTAAAATAATAAGAATATTTTATATGTTAGTTTGATAAATATATTGATTCATTTCAAGATATATTAAAGGATTTAAAACTTGAATTAGAACTAGAAAACAAAAATTGGAAAATAGAAGTACGTTTTAAAATAAAAATAATTGTACTATTAATTCATAAATAAACACATTAGCTAGTCAATAATATTAAAGTTAGTTAAATATGTGTAATATATTAATATAAAATTTACGAATAAGATAATGTATAATTATTAAAAGATTCATATTTTCAAATAATGCTTTAAGAATAAAACTTCTAAAATGTTTATTACCAGTTGAATACAATTTTAACGTTATAAATAACTGTTTTAGCAATTGTGTGTTAATATTTTTTTTTTCAGTTTAGAGAAGAGTTATTCAAAACGAATAATGAAATTTCTATTCAAGAAATAAGCACTAACGAGGTAACTATTATTATATTGACTTTTATATTAGAAAATCAAAAAAATATTATTTACTTTTCGTATTCACATATACAAATTTATTTTGAGCAAATGACGTTATAATTTAAAAATTACAAATAACTAATTTTTTAAAAACAAATTTTAATTCTTTTGCGACTAGTCGAATGGTTTTTGATAAACCGATTACTTTGTATTTGCAAATCTCAGTACTGCAATTGTAGTAAATACTTGCATTTCATATAAATTTCTACTTGAAAAAAGTTAAATTTTTTTTTTTCAAACATCAAGAAGTATGAGATACCTGAATATGTAAAGCCAATTATTCAGCAAATTTTCCCAGACTCAACAGAGATTTATTTTATAAAAGACGTCTTGAAAAACTTAGATGCAATTAAAGACAATGACACAACATATATAAGAAACAAACTGCAAAAATTCCATGGTAATAAAGAAAATTTAGATTAATTTACATATAATCAGACATTAAAAATAATTTCTTTCATAGTTCTTTTTAAGTTTTCTTCTAATACAAAAGAATTTAATTCGATGAAAACATGAAATCATTAGTAAAATGTTATCAAGATTAAAAATAAGAATAGAAACAATAATTTTTTTATTATAATAATTAATAATAAATTAGAAAAAAAAAACTAATTCGTCAGATTTTAAAATACTGGTTCAAATGTTTTTATTGGCTAAAAATTTTATTAGTTAGATCATTTTTTTTATATCTATACTAGTTAAAAGAAAAAAATCATGTTTTATTATAATTATGCATATTATTCACAATATGCATGCATAAATAAATTATTTTTGTTGTTCTATTTTGATATGTTTAAAATTATATTTTTTTTTTTAGAAAATGAATATATTAGCCTTAGAAATTTGATACAAATTTTGACTGATAAATATATCAAAATTCCAAATCCAATAGTGGGTTTGTTTAACAATTTCCTTGAAAGATTTCATTGTAAAGATACGACAAATACTGGATTAATATCTAAAAATGATTTTTCAAATATCATAGAAGCAGTTCTCAAGAATAGAGATATCGTACAACATGTATTAAAACCTACAGAAGGTGTAGAAAATCTGAATTATGAAGGTGCATATTACATATTAAATTACTATTTTCTTTAAATTAACACTATTCTATTGTATATCAGCATGGTTATTGAAAAAAAGAAAAGTATTATATGATATGGTTCATCCACCAAAGAACAAGAAAGGTAAAGATAAGACAGATAGGGATGAGACAGATGGGGATGAGACAGATGGTGATGAGACAGATTGGAATGAGACAGATTGGGATGAGACAGATGATGATGAGACAGATGAGGACGAGACAGATGAGGATGAGACAGTTATGGATAAGTATGATGAGTTACCTGATATAGGTGACTTTGAGACAGATGACGAAGAAATGAGATGATAAGATAGATGATTATTCTTCAATAAAACCTCATAACAACAGTTGGTTTATATAACTACAAAATTGTTTAAGGCTTATAAACTCACCAAAAATAATAAATAATTATTAAAAATTATTCGTTTTTATATTTATTTATATAAGTGATTAGCAAATTAGCATAAGTGATGCTAATTTGAATACTAAGTGAAACAAACTATTTTGTATTTGAACATTATTATACCTGGGTGATATCAGCAAAGTGATTCTTAATGATAAAAATAATATAACTTGCATGTCGCAGCCTTTTTTTTTTCTTGACAAGGCCAGATAAGTTATGGAGTCCTTAAGCAAGATCTCAACCCCCAGCTCAGTGAGCTTTAGAGGAGTGAAATGGTACCTGTCCGTAAACAGGAGCGCTAGAAACAGGCAGTAACTGCACTGAGCGCGCAGTTCATACGAGATACAGCCACCTCGGATGATGTGCCTTCCGCCACCACCAGCATGTCGTACCCTACAACCAGGCCCCCTTTTTTTCTTTGGATCCTTTAAAGTTGGCCCCACACCTGGTTAATCCTTGGCCTGGTTCCATCCTTTATACAGGTGAAGCACCCCTTGGATTTGTCCGGGCCCTTGCAGGCCTGCGCCACGCGTCCGTGCTCCAGGCACCTGTATCACCTCGGACCCTTGTCTCCAAAGATCTTCAGCCGACAGCTGACCCATTCCACACCGATACGGACGAGACCTGCAAGATGGGGGTCAAGACTTGCCGGCACCTCCACCCACGCGTAACGCCCTTTGCCACCAAAGTTCGCACGGACTACAACGGGCCCGATTTCCGACGGTACTTTGTCCTCTAAACGGTGGAAGGCATTCAGTAGTGTGCACTGCACCGCGTCCTCCTCCGTCCATTCCTCCAAACCCAACCCTCCAGGAGCATGACGGGTACGGTCATCAACGAACGATGGACCCACAGTCATGCTCCTTCAGGGCGCTCTTCAGGCTGTCATCTAAGCTATCAGCCTGGGCGCCTGATCCCCGTGCTTCCAAAAGGACGGCTCCCGTTCAGATCCTTCTGGTGCTGGCCATATGAACCCCCAGGGCTTTGAGGTCAACGGCAGCAATCGCGGTCTTTATGAACGCGGCATACTGTTGACCCTCCCTAAGTGGCTCGATTACCATCGCCTTCGTGCTCGGGACTTTGGCCCGAAGCTGGGAGGCAGTCAGGCCCCGAGACGGTCGCGGTGACTTGGCCTTAGACCCCTCAGGGACCTCCACCTTGGGAGCCGTAGTCACCCGCTCCACTCTTTTGGCCCACTTCCGCTTCACCACCTCTGTCTATAAGGTGGTTTGAGTGGGGACTGGAGCGGGTGCTGATGCAGGGGCTGGTGCAAGCACCTGCTGGACGTCTTTGCTACTGGATGGCAAAGGCGTCGCGGATTCAGTTATCGAACTTACCGGGCCCTTTGTCTCCACCTGTTTCTCCTCGGACCTGCTGATCAGCTTTTTTGGGGTTCCGTCGGGGTTGAATAGATCAACCGCTGATAAGAGCACCAGCTTAGGCTTCTTGGCCAAAACCAGCCCAGGTGTCACTGGCCGCATGTCGCCTCCTCTCAATATTTAAAAATGTTATTAATTTCCAAAATACTTGTTCATAATTTACCAAGTACCAATCTTTGACACTTGTTTTAGTTGGATTAATTTCTAACATTTAATCTACTAAATAAAATAAGGTTAAAACCTTTAAAGAAATAAGGGATGGATTTGAAAAATATTTATATATTAACTTATAACAATATGCCCTATGACCACACTTTAAGCATATCTGTTGAAAAAGTTATAATTGTCAATTAATACTGCATATCTACGATATAGACGTCATGAAAAAAATTAGCTACCTATACTTGTAATCCCCTATATATTATACATGTTTATTAACTTTAAAGGTTTATATCTCATAAACAAATAAAATTATGTTAAAAACTCAAATACCATTTACTATTAAAACCTCGAGCATTTTATTCATTTCAAAATATGTGTTTCCATTTGAAAAAACTGAGTTGGCAATATTACAAAGATTATAAAGTATTAAACAGCTAATAAGTTTAGAATAATAGGTAGTGAAGATTATATAAAAAAAAGAAAATTAAATTCTTTTATGTTTGTAAGTATTATATAAGTTTTTGATGAGAAGTAATATTTAGAGAAAACTAGTTTTTAGCAAAAAAAATTAAATAAAAGAATTCTATTCAAAAAATTCTACAATGATATGAACCCCTAATAGCTAATTTAATGTCATAGCACATACTTTCTCAGGAATGAGAGATTGAGGTGCACATATTACTCAAAGAAGTCCAAGATCTAATTCCTTTTTCTCCTCCATCCTCTGTTGCTTATCAATCCATTGACCAAACCATTTAATAACTTATCTAAATCACACATTTCATCCCATCTACAGTTCCCAAAAGTTAAATCCAACGATTTTCGTTTAGTTAATTTCTAAAATTTTAAAACCACATTCCCCCTAAATGTACAACATAAAGTGAACAAAAATTCGAGATCAACTTCATTTTTGATAAACTATAATCGCCAGATAAAACCGTCTTGGTTCGACTGCATACAA